TGGTCTTAAGAGGCTCTAAGCATAAGCAAACCTTGGAGCTCCGTAACTTCAATATATGCATTCAAAATTAATATGAAAATAAACCATATTTTTTGAAATAAAAAATTATTAAAACACTAAATATTTATAATGTAATACCTTTTTAATGGGTTCCCACGGTTAGCTCAACGTGCTCGTTTTCCATGACGCGAGCCCGGGTTCGATTCCCTGTCGAGGTAGATTATAGTGTGCGCTTTGCTTGCAATGTCCCAGTATCTGTTGCTGTGTTACAATGAGAAAGCTTACTTCTCAGTTTGAGAAGTCCAGAATACAGCGTAGAGATAGCTATGCGCTAACCACACTTAATCCATAGCCGGTACGTCCCTGGTTGGGGCTTGTCCTCTTCAGAGTCTGTTGTGCCGGTACGGACAGACAGAACTTACTAGTGGCCTGTAGTTGTCAAAATACCGCTGTCAAGCGTGTACAAACAGGCGTCTTGGAGCAGCAAAAATTGGTTGTTTTCAAACGACACATGAGAAGACTGAAGCGTCGTTCTTCCTCATCGCAAGATTGATTGATTGATAAGTGGTTGGGGACGTATGAAGTGTGATCATTAGTCCCGTAAGTGTAGTTCGTGTTTTTTTATCGCGGGAGGAGGCGGTGATCTTCCCTCGCAGGATGGTGAGTTCAGGAGTCGACCCACCAGTCGGCTTGCGGTTTTCCCTCGACCAGGTATCTCCCACTAGTGGAACATCGCTCTGAGCTGCCGACTGTTCTCCCGGCATGTGTGATGGTGTAGTGCATGTGTGTAAGTGTGTACAAATGAGGGGCGAAGATTGGGAAAGAAAGAGGAGGAGGAAGAAAAGATCGCAGACCCATTTGTTAGGGTACTGCTCCGGCATTCGCCTGGTGTTGTTCCGAGGAACCACGGAAATATCGATTAATGCAACCACACGAATTCTGTTTGAGGCAGCGGCTGAACTCGACCTAGCTATGTAGATAGTGTCGAATGCCCTGCCCCTGACGGCACTCGAGCACCTCCCGGCCAGGGTCACTGCGGTAACATCAATTGATGTCCTGAGCGATAAGCCGGTCATTACTTCACATCAGCTCTAATGTAAGCAGTGGCACACTGAGTGTGAGAATATAGGCATGGCGTAAGGTGTAAGAAGTTTGGGATTAACATAATTAAATGTATACAAATTTAACTCAAAATCAAAACTGTTTCTTAGTTTTTTGTATTCTTTTAGTATTCCTCAGAATCTTGTCATCTAGGGCTTCATTGACACCTGTCACATGGGCAGAAACTGTTCATTTTTCCGTTAATTTATGAGTGTGTCAGAAATTTGAAACATCGATATAAAAGTCCGTTTAAAAAACTCCTTGGGGCCCCTTTCCAGCGTCGGCCCTAAGCACGGGCTTAAGCTGCTTATGTACTAAACCTCCCTCGGGAATTCCCCACAGTCAACCACGTCATGTTGAGGTAGGACCGGTCGGAGCGGAGCGAAAGTATTCGGCAGAACTTGTATCTCAGAACGCCTTCAAAAGCACGAGCACCTTCCAGATGGACGAGCTTTTTGCCTTACCAATAAAAGTGATAAAAAATAAATTTATGCAATTTGTAGTATTCCAAGTGACATTTAAGTTGCATTGATGCAAAAAATCACACTCAGCATAGATAAGATCTCGTTTGTGGTAGGCCCGTAACAATATTTGTGTTGTGTATGTTGTTGTTTGTGTACATTTGTATTGTTGGCGTTTGAATTTGTTTTTGCGAGTGCGAATATGCGGATATAGAATATTTATAATGTTGCCTCGCACATTTTGAATGGCAAAATATACATTAATATATTAATAACTAGTTTGTTATTTTGGGATATCAATTCTAGGTAAAATGTTACGAAAAAAGGTTTTGTGAAGTAATTCATACGATGCTTTGTCCAAAAACAAACAAAACATGTAGGTCTTCTTGTTGATGTGAGGGCAATAAAATGTGCGAAGAGTTATATCCAGAATTTGCCCTGTAAGTTTAACTATTAAAATTATTATTTATTCAATTAATTTAAAGTGTTTGCAAGTCCCAGGAATAATTGTTTTTAAAACGTCCCAATAATAAATATTTGTTTCGATGTCAGTTTTCATAAGTGAAATGAAAAATCTTGTTAGAATATTTTTTTTTCATTCGAATGAACAGAAGTTTTGCGCTAGAGACAAACAAGACGTACATACTTTATGAGACATTGTGAATACAAACTTCTTAAGATCTGCTTCATAAAAGTTTTTAATTTAATATTATTTCAATTGTCGTAGTTTCGTGAATATACAATATTAATCTATATCATTCACATTGGAGTGAGCAGCTAAATTTCTGGGCCTCTTACTGATAAATATTTTTATATTTACATATGACATTCTACTTCTAAAACAACAATTATCAGTCTAGTTTTGAATTCTTGAAATTTGTTGTTGGGCGGTTATAAGAAGGTTCAACTTAAGGTTCAAAGGTTTTAAGAAGGTATATATTTTTAAGCGTTGTTTCGGACATTTTTTGACATTTTCAGCTGTTTTCTCCCAATTTGGGATTTTTTGTAGTATTTATGGGATTTTGTGGCATTTCTATGGGGAATCGAGTATAAATTGAACACCATTTAAGGGTAGATTTGAATTTTGTTCACGGCTTTGCCACGAATTCGTCTGCCAAAATTTAACAAACCTTTTTTAAGTGAAATTAACTCAATGTCTCTATACTCGGGAATTACAAATGGTGATCAAATGATTCCGTTTCAAAAGTAAAATTTAAATAGTTGAAAATATAAAGTACATTTAAAATGTACAACTACTGTGCAAATCTTGACTTTTTAAATAAGACTCCAAAAAGTTAATAACTTTAAATCAATAGTTATATAATAATAATAACAATAATAATAATAACAATAACAATAACAATAACAATAATAATAATAATAATAATAATAATAATAATAATAATAATAATAATAATAATAATAATAATAATAATTGAAACATCGTAGTAATCACCCCATTACCAGCATTCTTGTAAGAGCCACTAAGCGCGGAATGGCGTTTACATTAGTACAAAGAACAAAGGGTACTCTAATTCCGAGAGCTAATTTTTGCTTGATTTGAGCGTTACCAGAAATAGTATATCACAGATTGGCAGTTTGATAAGAACGTACAATTTAGTACAAGATATTGTTACGGTTAACAGGGTGAGTGAAACGACTATTTATGATACGTAAAGAAGGTTCCTACAGAAGCAGTGTTTATGCTTTCTAAATTTTAAATTGAAATAATGCAATATGACATGTATTTTCGAGTTCGCAAGTGAAGCTTTGTATCCCGGTGGTCTTAGGTTCGGGGCCAGACTGGGGCGGTGTTCCGACACCAGCGAAATAGCCTTGTCATATCCTGGATGATAATTATGATTTCTATCTCGTATTTCCTACTTTTTGTACGACCGCCGAGGGCTGGCGATTACACCCTTGCGAAGAACGAAAGCTGATGCTTTCACTGATGCCATTTCAAGAATCGAAGAGGGAGTCCACAATAAAATTACGTACAGAGAGAGTATCGCGATTATAATGGATTCGTAGTTAACGTACCGTGTAGTCATGTGTCCGGCTGTGTTGGTTGTAAATATGTCAGCAACACTTTATTTTTCATCCTGCGGTCAATGAAGCAGGTAGTAATGCGACAGATTTACAACCGGCGCAAGCGGACTCGTGAAACGAGGCTTGGGCGTAGGTGTTTATTGTTCATTCAGTTATTCATTCATTCATTCATTCATTCATTTCCACGCGTTTTTTATCGTTGCTACTAATTTGGTTTCAACGTAAAAGCTGGCGTTGATAGCATTTACCTCCGTATTTGTATTGGTAACTGAAGACGAAGGAGCTGCTTCTTTCTTTTCGTTTCAGTAAATATTTTCTGTTTTTAAATTTGTCGATTTGTCAAGGCAGCTATTTCTTATGTGACAACCCACTTTATTTGTTATCAATGAAATATACCATGTTTAGGTTTTCATGGAGATTAACGTATTATTGGGGGACGGAATTTGATGATCTATAACATTGCCAATTGTGATCAATAAAATGCTCTTAAAATGCATTAAAAATGCCCTAAAAACAAAGAAAAATGACGCACAAAATTTGATCACAATCCCTTTAGATGAACAACTCAAGCTGTTGGGTATGTTACTGGAGACTTCTACCTTTTGTTCAAGTGAACAGAGCTTGCAAACTTTGGGTTTGAACTGTTCTTTAGAAGAAAATCTTGGTCTTCATTTATCACGAAATCGGCCGAACTGACAATGGCGCCGACAGGCGTCACAGGAACCTTAGATTCCATAGTACTCACCACGGCTGACATTACAATATATGAAGAAATAGAATAGCCCACTCAAGAATTCTGTGGTGAACATTTGTTACACCTAGTAAATATTGTTTAAAGCAAGTACCATTAAAATCGATGAAATAAGCAAAAAATGTAAAAAAGGTAAAAAATTTCTTATTCGTGAAAGTTGACGAAAAATACAAAAAATGACACATAAAATGGGTCGTTTTGTTTTGCCATGTCATGAAATGAATTTCTAGACTAAACCGTAGTGTTCTAAAGTTAAAAGAAAAAAGATGGCATTTCATTAAAATCCGTCCCTACTTATGATTTCACGATTTAAGACGGCCCCGTAGTGCTGCATTCGCCGAACGGGCGGGCGGGCGGTCCGTGCCGAATGCAGCCGACTGTTCGCCGAATGCCAACTGTACCTCGATGCAAACGGGGTCAGTTGACGTAAATCAGCTGTCGGAAGCTTGAATGACATCTACAGCAGTGACATTTATGCTTCCGATTAGATGACACCGTAACAGTTGATCAAACGTCAACAGACTGTAAATAAATTGAAGTATAGTGGGGATGAATTGGTTGCTCTTTGCCATACGCGAATTTTTCGGTGCTCGCTCCTCGCCTGCAGCGCGTCAGTCTTTTGTTTCTCATCAAAAGAAACGAATGTCCGTCGAGCACCTCGGCTAATCGGGATTCGGCAGACCGGCGGGTGGGCAGGCAAGCAGTCTCTCGATAATCGCCGAATGCCGTACGCCCACCCTCCTTGTTCAGCGGGGAATTCCGAGCCCGGTCGCCGTGGAATTCTTTGGCCGAGCGTGGCAGGGAGGGAGGGGAGGAAGGGGTGCGCCGTGCCGTGTGCGCAGGCGCGCTGGCCTGGGCCGGCCACCGGCCGCCAGTCGCCATGTACCTGCCGCCGGTGCTGCTGGTGGCGGCGGTGGCCACCGCGTGCGCGCTGCACGCGCAAGAGCTCGCCGGCGCGGAGAAGGTCGCGGCAGGCAGCAACGCGTCTGCGCCCTGCGCGCCCATCACCGTCGACGAGTTGCTGCGCGTGCTGGGCGGAGCCTACAACGGGTGAGTTGCTGCTGGATTTACCCTCCGATTGAATCAAGGGGACACTCTACGGGCTGGAAGGAGATGGGGACGTTATCATCTCATCGGGAGCTCCGGTGCCAAAACGCAACAAAGCTCAAGACCGGATGACAGTTCACACAAATCGGGAAGACTGATTGGAGGCGGTAAGCTACCGCAATTAGCCGGAGTGGAGGCGATAGAACAGTGTCGGGATTGTGCGTCGTCGCAAATGTTTTCTGCAAGTCGTAGTTGTCAAAGGAGAAAAAGTCAAAAGTTTGCGAGCATATTATTTTAATGTCCTTAATATTTTGTTGATATAGAAAAAGAAAAAAATAGCCTGGAATAAATGTTATTTATTTTTCCGCAAATTTAAAAAAAAATATGTTAGTCGTTACTCTGCCATATATACTCTGCTAGCATAAATGTGATGAAATAGTATAGATAAATTGCAATTTGATTAATTCCCTTCCGCGAGACCCCTTCTGACATTTTTTAAAGCTCGTTCTTATCTAGTGATGACCTCTCGAAAATTTACGAAATTACTAGAAATTGTTTTTTGTACATGTGCGTGAAGATTGTTTGTGGATTTATTTTACTAATTGAAAAATATTGAAAGTGTTTGACAATTTGTTTCGACGTTGACAACCAGTTTAAATTCTAATTTTTCTCCAGAAAATTGATTTTATCGCTTATCGCGTCCAATATGAGGGAATCGACTCGCTACCGCGAGAATATGAAGAACTAAGACGCGAATTTGCGTACGAAATGACTGTATAGATTAAAAATGTATATAGTTCCCAGTTGACACTTTACTTAGCATTTCCCATCTTATTGCTCCTGAGGTTTCGGTTTTCAACCTCCGCTATTGACTCAAAACAATCTTTACTTTTTCAACGGGTAATTTCAAATGCATTTTACACCTAAATAAATTAGTCGGAAGGCCGTAAGGCAGTACTGCCGAAGCGATCTCGGAGCGAAGGATTGCGGGTTCGAGCCTCGCCTCGGGCATGGTTGTACTATTTGTGATCGTCCCTTCACCCTTCAACACCATGTCATCTTCACAATTACCATATTGTTAAATGCAATTGTGTTCGTTAATGACCTAATGTTGATGCGACCTTAATAGCAAAAATAATTTTAAAAAATAGTTGCCTAACAGTTGAAGGAATGCAAACCAGTGAATGCATAGAAATTAATGAGGAAACTACTTAGTACAAGCATATTATTTTAGCATTTGCTTCTAAAATAACCTGAAGAGAATAGTCTCTTATCAAATATTTTAACAATTTCGCAAACATCCAAACTAATGTACATCCATAGTTATTCTCAAACATTTTTAGGCAGAATATTGTTGTGGAATAAATTTTAAACATGTCTCTTCACTAAAATAAGCTTAAAAAAGAGGCAGGAAATTAAGAATCGATTGTCAGAGTTCAACTCCTCATATTCAAACTACGAAATTAAATTCCCTCGTTCCCCCGAGGCCCCCTTTGTCATTTTTAAATTCGATATTCGATCTCACAACGTTGGTAGTAGATTCGTGAACGGGGCTAGGTTAAGAGATAAGACCACCCCTTCAAATTATATTTTTTTATTTAATAACATCAAGTGTTTTTGTGTAGAGTATTCCTTGCAGAGTTTACTATATCCACAGGTTTATGTACAAAGCTTTGTTATTTGATTTGTAGTAAAGTTTATGAAAATATACTGCGCAGGAATAGGTGGTAGTTTAGTGTACTTTACAATTTTCATATGCAGTACAGAAGCCGGTAATGTTGGTTAATATATTTGTCAAAATCATTAATTTCCCGCCCTTGAGCTTTTTCCCTATCAAGAAGACAAATTATTTCGTGATATGGTGTCCGTAATCATACAATATTTTCTATTTAAAAACTATTTTTTTTGTGTATCCTAAAAAGTCTTCTATTTACCTGATCTGAAACCCATGATGTTCTCGTTAGAACTGTTCCCCACAGAAATAATTTTGTTCCTTGTTCGTATTTTTTTTCTTTTCTATTTTCATTGTGGTCTAGCTTCAATTTTGTTCTGAGTCTGAGTTACAATATACAATCAGTTTTGTTAATGAATTGTTGTTATGGATTACAAACTTTGATATTTGGTAGCATTAGCGTCCAGTAGTTGAATTATTCGTTTTCATTCTTACAAATTAAGTATTCTGATAGTGAGTTTATTCGGGCGTCTTTAGAATAATAGTAATAATAACAATAATATTAATATTAATATCTTCACCGCACTGGGCATGTCAATCTATTAAGAATCTATACACGGACTTTATTTGTATGAAAATTATAAACACACTTTTCTTCCTTAATAAATTTAAAGTATCCTACTATTCTATATGACGCCCGAATTTTCACTAGCACGAAAAAAATTGTAGATGTTGGTAAGATAGATCGTCCGTACAGATTCCCGATGATGATATATTTACCTACACTGGATTACTTATTCTAATATCGACTCAGGAATTTTATTGGTCGACCTCTGAAATAAATATACTTACAATATGCAGATCAAATACAAGTTTATACATTGCTGTAAATATATACATACGTACGTGCAGGCTTACAAAATATTCTTCTGTTTAGGTTTTCATCACAATAGCAACAATTGAATAATATACATTTTTCAGAATTAATGTAATTATAAACAAAGGTGTTTATTATTCTATTAAATGAACCATCCTTTCTTTGCATGCTTTGGGCAAATTATTTTCCCAATTACAAATTTATCTATTCTAAAAAGTAAAAACACAACTTGATCTTCCTACATTATTTTCTGCTAACAAAATGTCCTTCATTGTCACTTTCCTTTGAGACGCAGATGCCGCAAGCTTGGCCGTTGTCCGACGCTTAATTCCATTTCCATACTAAAAACAACTTCCTCTGCACGTCCTTCCACCGCTCTTTCGTTTAGAGTTGTGCGCGTTCGTCTCCTGTTTTCTCCTGCGCGAAATCTTTTCTAAACGCGTTTCTTCCTGCCTCTGTATGCGCATCTTGATACCGCTCTCGAATGTTATCTCCTCTCTCATTGGTTACACTCGCATTTACACCGTAGCTCTTTATTCTTTGAACTATTTAGCTATTATTAATTTTCTCACGTTTCACAGTGTTTACACGGAAATTGCTCACGTGTCCTTGAAATATTACCTATTTCACTCCGTATATTTTTCCCACTATTGGTTCTGCTGTATTAAGTTTTGTTTATATTAATTGCACACGACGTATTTGATTATGGTTCTTTTCCCCTCATTGTTACCATCGCTGTATTTATTATTTCTGCAAATATTAATTTAATCTCATTATTATTGTAAACCATCACAGTATGTTAGATAATCTATTTTTTTTGGACGATGTGGGAGTGGTAATATTTGTCACAGCTTACAATATTTCCCTTTAATTCTTGAAATAATGATTATTTATAGTTTTTAAAACATTGCATATTTGGTAGGAAAGTTTTCCACGCTCGCTTCTGAATTTGAGTAAAAGACCCTCTCCATTAATGAATTCAAATTAAATTTAGATATAAGTTTGCTGTAATTGACTGTTTCCGCACATCAATAATATTGATCTTTAAATTATGTTTTAATAACACTTCTCATAGTTTATTTTTTATACTTTTTCTGTACATGTCCGATGTCCTATACTCAGTGGTAAACGCCCCACGGTGTTGAATTGTGTGTGTAGAAAACCGTCAACGGTATTATTGTACAATGGTGGCAATACCATCACAAAATAAGAGTACATAAAATATATAAACTTATTTGTGTAGATCAGCGGTATTTTGTAAAATACATCGCAACAATCACAACTGCCAAGTGACATAAACGCAGTAAGACGTTTCAGAAAGTAGCTCAGTACAGGAAGAGGAAATTGAAATATTGCTCGACAAATTCAAAGTACTGTACTGTACAAATGTAAAGTGCTATCTCGAACTTGCTTCGGAATAGGACGTATGTTACTACAAAAAAGCTTGATACTTGATACTTGAAAAAAGCTTGACTGATACTGTGACCTCTCAAAACATTGTGTACTCGCATTTTTGGAAAACAATAAGCCTTTTACATATTTGATATACCAGTGTTTTTTAAACATATTCCTACATTTGAGCAACTTTTAATACTGGCCACAAGTTCCTATATAGTGTTTAGACCCTTGAATGGCTGAGATAGCTCACGTCAACAACTGTTGGCTGTGCAGTGTCTCTGTCAGAGGAGTCCTAAGGTAAGAGTTCTCACAGTGGCCGATTTCTCGCAACTCTTATCTACAATAGCAAGCTCGATTTCAGCCGCTGTCTGATTAAGAGTTCCAGCGGGCACCTAAAACTCTTCAATATCGATAGTTTTTCCAATTAATACTACACGAATGCCAAAGCAGTGCAGTCGCCAATGTGCCAGCGACCGAGCGCAATGCTTCTCCCTCAGCCTGGACCCTCTCTCCTTACACACACACACACACACACACACACACACACACACAGTCATATTGGAATGTATTTCACTTCCACACACGTCGAAAGACCAGTCGAGAGCTTAAAGCTTGAACCGGCTGGGATGGTGCTCCGCTGTGAGAGATACCTTGAGGAGAAAGCTCACGTGATGTCCGCGCCTGAAGTGGCATTCCAGCTGGGAAGAACCTCTGCCACCTCCCGGGTTATAACATCCCCAACACTAGTTGTCCCGGCCCCAACCATGAATTAACGCGTTTTCGACAGGCGCTACATGGCGGTGGAGCAGCCGCCGTCGCTGCAGTCGGGCCGGCCCGACCGCAGCAGGCCCAACGGGACGGCGCAGGTGGGCGACGGCGCGGAGCTGGAGCTGGAGCTGGAGCTGGAAGAGGACGCAGAGGGCTTCGCGGTGCCAGCCGGCCACCGCGCGCTGCTGGGCCACTCGGCCGCGTGGCTGCCGCAGCCCGACGAGCGGCGGGGCGAGGGCGTGGGCGTGCCTACGCCCAAAGCCACGGCAGCCAGCGCGCCCGCCGCCGCGCTCCACCCAGATCAGCAAGGTGAGTGGCCACGGTAGGCAGAAAAGGAACAGGATTGCTGTGGTCCCGGGGAAAAAATTCGCAAGTCAAACATCTTAAGTTTCCAGAAAACAAGGGTTAGAGTATTGTCGCCTAGAGTTCCCAACGCAGAGTTAATTTTCCAACGCTTTTTGTCGTTGAGGAGGCAACATTTAAATCCGGTCGTTTTTTAAAAAAAAAAAAAAATATAGATGCCGGTCCGGATGGCCGAGATCGTTAAGGCAGTAGTGCCGTAGCGATCCCCGACTGAACGGATCGCGGGTTAGAGTCCTGCCTTGGGTATGGTTGTATTGTGTTCGTTCATCCCCCATCATAATCATAATCATCATATTGCCATCCTCACAGTTAACATACCGTTACACGCAATAGTGGTTGATAATGACCTAGAAGTTGATGCGACCTTAAAAAACAAATTGTATATATATATATATATATATATATATATATATATATATATATACTTAACTTGTAGTTTCAGTACTTAACCCAATTCGCAAAAAAGGACTTAACTTTTACCCTGTGACCAAAGATTTATGTTAAGACTGGTGTACACGTTGCCAATACGGGTGTGCCAGTTACAGTTTTGCCAGCACGTAGACAGCGCTGGTGCTCTGTGCGAGTGGCAATAGCTGTTTACAGCGATAGTAATGGCATGCAAGAGGAGATATTTTTTCTCGTTGCCCTTAGTTTATGTATGCTGTTTCTGATGTGCTGCTAATATTCGGCCCACAAGAAAGTGTGCAAAGCAAATGTTCCATAAACTTTTTATTTTAATCTGCCTTGGAGAAGTTACCTATACCCTTTCTATTCGCAATTTTCAGAATTGCGGCATTTCAGGCCTCGTTCTTGTATTTCGGTAAAAAATATCCTACATTTTCCGATTCTCTACATAACTGGCCAAGTTTGTCAATTTGATCAAGAAGGCTTCTGCTTCCCAGTCATTTTTATAAATAATTTTAATAAGCTTACGTTGATCACCGTGCAAGTATACAGCAGTATACACACGTGTGAGGAGTCGGGAGTCACCAGTTTGAAAAAGTTTTGGGGGAGCGCGTGAGCAAGCCAGTAAACTAAACATAGTTCAGCTGACATCGCCAGTGACTCACGCGAAGGTCTTACCGGTCACCTGCAACAAGGCGGTTTCACGTTGCCAGTCTGCACTTGCAGTTACTGGCAACCTCAACTGTCATGTTTACTGGCAACGTGTAAATCAGCCGTTAGTGATGCCAAGATCGATGCCACCAGCAGTAGCCCGTGGCAAGAGTAAACGATATTTTTAAGGTGGTGTCTCAAGGCCACACACGAAAAAGGGAGAAGGAAGGCATCCGAAAATAGGGAGAAGCAAACATCACCATGCCATTGAAGCTCCTTATTGAAGTCTACCTTCACTCTCCCATTTTCGTCAGTGACCATGACAGGACACTTTATAAAACGAAGTATACACGCAATATGATCACATCAGCACAAGAGAGCATTTGGTAGTCAGTCTCCTAGGGTACCTGTTCCTAGGCACTCTAAAAGTCGTCCTTAACGCTTTTACGCTTCACACACGAAACACGATTGGGCGGGGTTTAGATAAATGAATTTAAGTACGTTTGATCGTATTTTTATTTATATTTTTACTTACATTTGAACATTGGCACTTCAAAAGCTGTAATATTTTTTTCTTTCTTGTTGACCAACCATTTTCACATTTTCAACCTTATATTTCATTCCATACTGTTTTGTATCTTATTCTTCATTTGAAGTAATTGATTACACACTAAACATTTTGAATGTGTACAAACCTTATCACACAGGTACGCTTCCTCCCAGTCTAGATCAAAACATTTTAAATTCCTGCCACACCCTGCTGTAGGTTTCGAGAACGCCATGTTTATTGTAAAACGGCAGGGTTACTCCCGATAGTTTTTGTTCCCGACACTAGTTGCACTGAGCAGCTCGTGGCATACCACGGTGCCACTGCCACCAGTAGAAGACCTTGACATAAATGATTTACGTATTGCTGAGCCCAAGTACAAAACCTTGTTGGGTGAGAATGGGGGGCGGGGCGGCTCCAAAAAGTGAAACGTCTCCAGATTTATTTAAAAAAACTGAGTCTGTGCGGGTACGAATGACGTTAAGACAGATAAGACGACGAAATGAATACGCAAAAGATCTCGTATGAGGCGTGGTCATTATTCATGGAAACGAAACTGCATCATATTTTGGCGACAAAATTGGTATTCCGGCTCGGCCTGGCCGATGGTGTCCTTTGAATTCGAAAGGATAGATTATTTTATTTTTTTGGGGGGGGGCATACATGAATTACAAACATTATTTTAAAAGTTTACAATTTTATTTAGTTTTTGATCACAGAAAACGAAGTACGCTTATAGAAATTGTGCAGGAATAATTTTGTTTGAACTATCAGACATTTTGAAAATTGTAGAAGTTAAGTGGTTTTTCGACGTCTTTGGATCTTTAAATAACGTTATATACATTTGTTTCAAAATGATTAGTTTTTGTGTAATTTGTGTGAAATAAAAGTAATTGAAAAGTTTATTTTTTCAAAAAATGCTCCAATTTTGTTCTTTCTTTTTTTTCACTCGGAGAATGTGAAATACGTTTTGGAAAATGGGAGTTTCTTCTTCGTCGAATTCAGAATTTTTGAAAATGGTATAAATTACAAATAATGCGAGAAGTGTGTGTTCTTGTATCATTTCTAGTTTGTTTCTTTATTAAACATCATTGTAACATTTTGTTATGAAATTCCATTCGCCACATGCCTCCATGACAGCTGTGAAGTTTATAGCAACTGATTTCTAAGGTAAACAAGTGAACAATATTACTCACACACGCAAATACGTACACACACTAAAGCAAGTGTATTTAGCTTTCGGTTATAGGAAGAAATCTGAAACGAAATAATATTTATCATTCACTGATAAGCGAAACAGTTGAAACTTTTCCCGAAAGATTATCTAATCATTAAGGATGTCGACCAACCCAACCTTAACCTTCAATTTGTTTGGTTACTACTACTGCTACTATATTTTATATTTTTGACGCGTGTAATGATAAAGTAGTAAAAGTTGCTTCCTCTTAAGGACAGGGGGGTTTGAAATTTCTAGTATGAATTATAGATATTTTTTGCCTATTGCATTCAAAAACTTTTTCCATACAATATTTGCTGGGCGAAAATGAAATTTAATTAATTTTATTTAAGATACACAAAGACATTACATCGCAGTTGTTGTTGCTGTTGCTGTTGTTGTTGCTGTTGTTGTTGCTGTTGTTGTTGCTGTTGCTGTTGCTGTTGCTGTTGCTGTTGCTGTTGTTGTTGTTGTTGTTGTTGCTGTTGTTGTTGCTGTTGCTGTTGTTGTTCTGATTATGGTTGTTGTTGTTGTTGTTGTTGTTGTTGTTCTGATTATGGTTGTTGTTGTTGTTGTTGTTGTTGTTGTTGTTAAAGCATATAAATACACCGTGTTTTTTGCAGGGGCGCCGCTGCGTCGGGTCCCGCGCCACCAGCCGGCCTTCAACCCGACGCCGTGGGCGTGCGAGGGGCGCGTGCTGTGGGCCGACCTGGGCGCCGACTACTTCCCGCGCTTCCTGCGCTCCGTGGAGTGCACGGAGCGGCGCTGCTGGTACGACCGCTTCGAGTGCCGGCCGCGCGCCTTCGCCGTCAAGGTGCGTCCCCGACAGCAACCCATAGCTGGTATTCGCTTGAAGGTGGCGCCGTACATTCGGCAATTGCTCATTCAGTCGCGAGTAGCGAGTGCCTGTTCGACCAGTTGCGAGTACTACTATTATTATGTGAAGTACATTGAAATAATTTGCCCTTAATTTTCAATATATTATTTAATAGCATAAATGTTAGGTTTCTCTCAAAGCTTGAACTCTTGATTTGAGGTGTTATTTCTTCGAAGCTGACGAAATGCCTTCCCATTCGGATTTATTAGAGGATATTAAAAATATGTTGCCAATATTTGTTTTTTTTTTTAAAATCTCCCAGTTTATTAGCAATTTATAATACTCACTTGCCCACGAGTTAAACATTAAACTTCAAATTCTGACAATTTCTACTTGCTGAGATACGCAAAAGTAATGTTATGAAATTTGAAATATTTTTTCTCTTAAATTTTTATTTATTATTTATATACTTATTTTTATTTATTTATTTATTATGTTCTGAAGGTGCTGCGGCGCGTGCCGGGTAAGTGCGCGCCACCGCCCCCGCACGCGGAAAGACCCTCCCGCGGCGGAGGCGTCGCTCCCACGCCCTCCGCCCCCACCGAGCTGTGGCTGTGGGAGGAGCGCGCCGTGGCCTTCTGCTGCGAGTGCGCCTCCGTCACGGTGTAGCAGCGCTTCCGGCGACGCCCACCGGCGCAGGTGGGAGCCGCCGAGTTAGTCCCTCTTCCTGTGACGTGACCGTAACTCTGCGGGGGCACACGATGACCCGTCATGGTCTTGCCGGTGGCACTCTGGCAGAGTAGATGTAAAAGGCACCGTCCTCTCTCCACAGGGGCTTGCAATTCTGGCTTGTGCTGGTTGTAAATGTCGTCGACGCATTATTTCACGTGTTGATCCAACGTAGGAGCGGTACCGCGGCGACAAATTTAACACGAACTAGAGTTCGCTCGAGAGTAGGCGAGGCCCTTTAGTTCTTAATCCACTCCGACATGTTTTTTCCTGCCCCCCCCCCCCTCCGTGGAGCCTTTTCTGAGAGCACACCGCCACCACATAGTCCGCAGAAATCAGCGCGTTTCAGGAGGCCAGTCAGCGTTACAGCCTTCGCGCATCTCTAAACCGACAGCCCTACGCGGTGTCAGCTCTGGTTCGCCTCGTCAAACCTGTGATGAAGTCCTATCAGCTTTTGATGACACGCTACAGAATCGACGGCAACGCTTTGATTGCATTCCCACCAGCACTGCTGCCATATAGCCGCCCCTCCGACACTGCCTGCCCAAACCGCCGCTGCAGCTGACCATTTGGAGCCCTGCCCCCGCCAGGAACGGTTGTGCCTACAATAGTAAATAATTGGATCATGTATTTTACACTCAATGTGCCTTTTACCCGTAATCCTTCCTTTCAGCTTCTCCCATTTTCCCCCAACGCCGGAGTTTTTACCTGTTTCAGCAGCACATTCCTTTCCTTTGGAAATCCCGCCTTCCTTTCTCCACCCCCTCCCCCTTTCACCTCTCACGGCAATGACACTAATGGTAAATTGCACTCCTGGACACAGTTTTGTTATGTTATCCTCATGGGATACTTATAAAGAGACTACCATTTCTTGTCGTTTTCTTCGCCAGAAAGATTCAAGAAAATGTATGCATGAAAAGTGTTCATTAAACTTAACCAACAGAAGAATTTGATGCCGTAATGTCTGACCACTAACTCTGTGTTATCTGCTATTGAAAATTTCTTCAAACACGGACCTGACGGTTTTGAAGAATACAACGTGATGAAAGCAGAAAATGAAGTTAATGATGTGTATTTATATGTGCTAATGAATGTTTGTGTTATGTGGACTCTTTTTAGAGAGAAAAAAATACCTTTGAGTAAAAGTTCAGTAGACGTTCGCAATATCAAGTGTGTGCTTATCTCTGATAAGTGATTCTAGTCAATTTTCTTGGATATTGCCAACTCTTATCACGACAGTGGCAATGAGATACTTCTATCTAGCACCATACACATTAGGTAATAAAAAACAGTGAAGGAAACATCTTTTTACCTGATAACTGAAATAAATTAGATTAATTTATTTATGGTCTTTACTTTGGTATGCAAAAATGTTCCTTCACATAATAAAAAAGAAACTGTATTGAAAATGGAAGTGTAAAAGTTTGCTAATATTTCTATAGTGTGTGTGTGTCCATTTTTACTATTTTTGAAAGTAAGTAATGTACATTTTGTATATATAATTTCATAGTTTTATTACATTGTAATAGTGGTGTGTACAAACTATATAAAATCATAATATATTTTTAAAATATATTGGTTTCATTTTTTATTTAACGCAAACATTATCAGAAAAAAATAATTTTTGTAAATTAGGGAAAAGCTGTTATTAAATTTGGTGACATTCAATAGGGTTGCTGCAATAAGGTTTGCTGTTGGATATTTATAAATCATACACGAAATAGACATACAAATATTACATACAAATCGCCAAGTAAAAACTAATCAGGCCTCGCTTATTGCTGAATGCCTGTGAAAATTAATATAGAAATCAAAAGAAAAAGATAATAAACAAAAATCGGTGAACACCTCAATCGAAATAGACTGCTCTTAATTATTTCTAGTGAAAACTTCAAAATATGGATCGTTAGGGAACCCTTTATAATCTATGGCTCTTATTTCTCTATAAAAATGGAATATAGATAATAAGATTTTTTAATAAATTGTTTAAAAAGTTGATATCATAATTGAGAATGTATCTGTCTGTTTAGTTGCTAATGACCTCGATGTCTATGCAACTTGGAAAACCTCCCACCACAACTTCATCATTTGTATATTTTACACTTTCATGTATATTTACTATATATTAATTTGACCATCTCGTCAATAACTTCAACAAAATCGAGACGCGTGTGATTGCGAAGTGAACCGTGTGAAATGATGGTTTCCTATTTTAGGAGCTAGCACAGTTCATAGACTAAAACATATGATAAATAATACTAACATGAGTGTGGTATTTTATGTAGAGGCTCTTGTTTGGAGATTTCTCCGTAGTTTGATGAAATATCAGTCTTGGTGTTCTGAAAGTTTAAGGGAAAGAATGTAGCACTGGATTTTACTAAAAAAATTGTTTTGACGTCCGTGAAATAAATACAGAATTGCATAAATTATAATTAGGGTCAAAATGTACCAAAATCAAACCCTAGTAAAATTACTCCCTTTTCATCACGAAAAGGGGAAAATTGCGTTCTTAGTATCCTTTGAATTTTGTTCTTCGTTAGTCTCTTAACTACATTTTTAATTTACACTTTGTTGTTTGAAACTTCTTTCCAATATACACATTTTTTTCAAAACTTGGACAAATCTTGTGTAGATTCTGTTGTAATGATAGATTACTTTCCTATTTATGAACTTTAATTAAAAGTTTACCCCCGAAATAATTGTTTCATTCTCCTATTTTAATTATCCAATTTTAGCAGTTTTCTTGTTACATTGTCCAAACCCATAATCATTGATTACGCCAGAGATTTGGATAACAGAAAATGTAGATTTACTTGTTACCAAATCTGCATTTATAATGAAGTTCATTCTGGCAAGTAAAGTACTCGCTATTGTTAAATCACTCATTTCACTTGCTCAATGTTTTACAACATATTTCGTAATTACATCTTATCACTTTACACAGACGACCGTCGGGATGCTACATCTTCAATTAAGTCATATGCTGTGTGATATCCATGTTGTTCAGGTTCCTGTTTCCCATGAAGATAGGCAGGATACCACACGATGAAAGAAACCACTGAAAAACAAGGGAGAGTAAATTGTATTGATGAAGCCAGTACATAGTACCAGAAGTGCTCAATTATTTCAAGATAAATAAAAAATATTGTGGGGATGTCATTTCATTGTCATTTTTAACTTAGGAGTGAAGCACTTGCATAAATAGGTTTGAAAACATAGAAATAGAGATTGTTTTTAAAATTAAGCTTCTTAAAATTACAATAAAATATAGAAAATATTAAATCTAAATTAGTGGTGCTACAGAATTGCAGACTTTCTAGTTCTAGTTGTTTTCCTTATTCATCAGTCTGGACTCTTTTTAGTTTTGTCTCTTCAACTGCCCTCTATTGGCGTCTTAATGCTATTTTTTTAGGTCTTTTGATCCCTAGTAGAAGAATTGAAATATGACTTAAAGACTATTATAGAAGGGTATTGTCTCATCCTGTGCGATGGTTTTCATTGCAAGTTTGAAGGTATTTAAAAAAAGGTGTTTGAGTGCTTCTGAAAACGTTAATGAATAAGCTCATTTTCATTAAAAACTTCTGGCCTTTTATTAAAGAGTTATTTGAAACAATTGTTCTCACAGGAATGTTTTAAAATGTCCCATCGGATTCTTGTAAAGTGCCTCTAAAATGTAAATGTTTTCTAAAATCGCAGGGGTATGAGTCGGGCCAAAACGACCGTGGAATATTCATTTTGAAAAAAAAGTCCTAATAATTTATCACTAATATTCAAAGATGGACAATCAGACGGACTATGTTAACAAACAGGCCACGGACATCGCGCGATGTTGCCTTCCTTTTCCTTGTCCTATCCTCACACCTTACACACACACACACACACTAACATGCACTACATTGCCACGCATGCCGGGAGACCGGTGGGGAGCGTAGAGCTTGTCCCGCCCCGCCCCGCAGGTGGAAGATACATGGTCGGGAATACACTAGAAGCCGACATGTAGGTTGACGCCGAATTTCGCCACCCTGTGGATCACCGCCACCTCCGGCGTTTAAAAATACGCAAAACGCATACGTCCTTAACGAATGAAGCATCCGGAAATCAATCAATCAAGAAGTAGTAAAGGTGTAGAAAAGTGAGAGTCGCGAAAGCATTTACAAAGACGACCCAGTCACGAAAATGACAGGTCGAAACAGTCTTCTGAAGCTGTGATGAATTTTTCGGAGTGTATGGTGTTTCGTCTTTCCACCCCATGATAAAGCTATCTAATTTGGTAATGGTAAAAAATAAACATTGATATAATTTGCTCGTCATTTAGCAAATTACTTATTCATTTTAGAGCGCTAAAACATTGGATAAGAATGTGCTTGCTGAAGCGATGGTCTTGTTTTGGATGCAGAGCATCTTCTAAAGTATGCAATTTACGATGTTTAACTGGAGCACTACTAGCAAAGGAGATAAAGTATAATAATGTTCATATACTGGCTAGTCTGGATTAACACGAAAGTAAAATATTATAAATTTCTGTCTTATCGGAAAGTTGAGCAAACCATTTACCGCACTTCCTAACCCAGAGATAAAATCGATTAACTTTTTTACGACATAAATGCTTGGTTGTATTCCTAATGTTACTGAAATACATTAAATTAAAACTATTCTTCAAATACAACTCTTAAAAATTAATAAAATAAAAAAAACATCCAGTATTGTCCATCTTTGTTGTGCAAAAGTTGAACTTGACGTAAGGTGAACATTGCGTACATATGTTCTTTTATCTACGACGATGCAATATTGTTCGATTAGCGCCCTCTGGATAGTTTAAGGTGACATTAAAGCTGTAGTGTTACAATGGATTTATTATAGCATTAATTGCATTATGACTTCATTATAACACTCATTTTCGAAGACAAAATAAAAGCGTTGTTTAATATAATAAAGGAGTATCATTACTATCTTAACTAACACGCCCATGTAATATAATCATAAAAATATATAGCAACATCCCCGTTGCCTGTCGACAATAATAATTGTAATCATCGTTGATAAAGTTTGAATGATGCACATTTGGTATAACATTACAATAATGATTTGCATATAAATCTAGTTTTATTTATAACTATAAATGAAGGCATACCTGCACCAAGAATGCTGTATAATATTACACTATGAGTTCTTTCAACAGACGCTACTGTTACTGCAATAAGAGCGGTAACAGCAGAATGGTACCATATCCAGAACTCTATCCATAGTTGGTTTTTCTGCAAAAGATATCTATTTCAAAGAATATGATATGCAACTTTATTATATCTCACAATTACATTTTCAAGAGGGGAAACGTAAGTTCTTTCACAAACAATAACACTGCCAACAAGAAGATTTTTTTCCATTAAAAATTGAATATATATAATGAATGTATGATTTGTATGTATTTATATGAAAAATTGATTCATAATCGTGTGAATAATGACTGAATGATATCTAAAATTCTCAAACAATAAGATTCAGAACCAAGTAATATGCATTTTATAAACAATAGAAATACAACAAAATATTCGATTGATTAGAATATTAAATAAATTATACATTTAAAAATTCCCTGAAACTATAACATATTAGTCTGAGATGAAATATTTACAAGCCATTTTTCTACGAACTTACCTTTATTATACCTGCAAGTAGAAGACCAGAAGCAATCGTCTCCACAGAAAGTAAGACGAGCAATATAACAGTAATTGCTCGAATGACTGTAAAAAGTGTATTGCATTACAATGTTCACGAAGTTGAATGCACTTTCAATATTCTTAAAAAGAAATCGTTCATTTTTAAACGTTTGAGAGAAGCAAGTTTAGAATCATTTCTAAGCGTATGATTGTAATATCTTGCAACGGTATATTGGATGTAAACATGTTTTTGCTACGGATTATAAAAGTTATTAATTTATAAATCATTATATATTTATATTTAAATTATTTATTTATATATATAAATTAATATATTGTTTCGTTAAAATTACTCCTTTTTATTACTTGGGTAAAATAATCGATTTCGCAAACACTAGCAATGTAAAGTGTTCAGGCGTGTACTGCCAATATTGATATTATTGAAAATAATACGAAATCATTATTTTATAACATGTTTATGTTTTTTTGTATCATTCAGAATGATCAGGCTGTAGGAAGGATATCGGAAGATTCCCTTGCGTAATTAATCAATTAATAAAATGATTTCCATGACAAACATTTCAATTGTGATATAATTTTTTTTCTCTCATGTCTTGCAGGTTTATAAACTTACGATTCGTATTATTGAAGGACCTTATTGTTTACTAGCAGGATAACACTAGAATTAGGGTGCTTTTCGTTTCCCCAGTAAGTTCTATTTTTAATAATTTTAATATTTTCTTTTACATCTAAACTTTGTCTATGAGAAGCATTAGCGACCTTGAAAATGTGTGACGAAAAGCATTTCAAACGTTGTCCACGTCATTATGGTGTAAACAATAATTTCATAAATTCAACTTTATTTATGTTTTCAACCCCTGAAGACGTGTTGAAGAAATTTTTTAAAGCATAATTGACATTTTGAGGTTGTGCAGTTCAGTATTCTTAATTAATTAATTAGGCAAATGAATATCCCTATTTAGTCAAGCCTGAGCGATTTGAGAGATCTTCACAGAGTGAAGTGTTAATATATTGGTTTCCAGTGACATTAAAAAAGACGCTTGAAATATAATGCTGTGTTTTAGCGACAATATATTTGAGAGTTATGTTTTTCTCCTACTTACTTTGGAAAACGTATATTCCTTCCGGATCCAACACACAATCATGAGTGACCCAAATCCATATCGCAAAGATGACAACTGCTGCAGATGTTAACTGTCACAAACAAGAAATCAGTCAATAATTTTGTGTTTAGATAAACTATTAAGCGGCAGAACATGGCGTCTGTCTTGCTTCAGGACGCCAGCGTCTTAGGTAGTTTGCTCATTGAATCTGCTCAGTGAACTTGCTTCATTGAATGACATGAAAACGTGCATAAACAAAATTTTGTGAGATCGGAGAAGTCTAACCTCTGCCACCTTGAGAGCGAACTCGCTTGTCGGACACGTCCTAACCTACCATCCAGCGATGAGTCAGCCCCGAGCCTAACACTACATACATTTTAATCGATCGTGTCACTCGTGTTTGCAGGTGGCTAATATAGCATAAAGTTATAAGTTAGTGTCAGTGCCAAGGAATGTGTGTTTGTAGTAGGAGGTATTGTTAATTATTAATATAAAACACCAAATAACTGAGAACAGTTTACCATCAAATAAGCAAGTGCTTGAAGTTGTATTTTAACACATGGAAAGTAAAGTTAAGTGCAAGTGCAGTTAGTGCAAGTAGTGCTTAACTTACATTTTCATTCTTATTAAAAAGTCTAAGACTTGTTCTTTTTCAAGAATTATAACGAATCTTTCCATCTTCTCCTTGGTCTACCAACTTCTCTTCTTTCCCTCGGCTTTTCATCTCTAGCAATCCTCACGATTCTTTTCTTCTCCATTCTCTCAATATGATCGTTCCATTCCTTTCTGCGTTCTGCTACCCATTTAATAATATGCTTAACATTGCACACTTTCCTGATGTTTGTTTCTTTCCTTATCCAGCAGAGTGGGATTTGTAGTTTTTCTCAGAACTCTCATTTCGGCGACCTCAAGTTTTTGGGTATGTCTTGTTTCGCTTCTTGTTTCTCCGGCATATGTTAATATTGATGTAATTATTGATTGATATATTTTAACCTTCGTTTTAGATGTTTATTACATCATATTGAGAAACAAAACAGCATTATCATGTCATTAACATCAGGACCCTAGTTATGATACAATTAAATCTGCTTTTAAGAGTGATATATCTGAAATTCCTTCTGTTCATTGGGATAGTAAACTGTTGCCTACATTAAATATAAGGTACTCAAAAGAAGAAAGAATTTCAACTGTCAGCAGCTCTTTGGGTTACCAAAGTTGCAGAATTTGTCTGGTAAAAAGTAAGCGAATGTTTTGTGTTAACGTACAAATGCATCAAACATTTTTATTATTGATTGATTGCGTTTTAAACAAGCATGTCTCTCTCGAAGAAACGTGTGACAGCGAATTCTTATTCTTTCTATGTCATCACATGGAATATGAAAGCATTTGTTGGTATCCGCACAAAAGTGTAAATTTTGGAAAGGATTCATCGGAGGACAGCTAAATTTACTTTCAGGGAAAAGAAAATGGCAGGGTGGGATTCACTTGAAAACAGGCGATTAGTAACAAGACTCAGCGCTTTATGTAAATCTTATAGGGGTCATCCAGGTTGAAAAGGAATTAATTAATGGCTAAGTATTCCTACATACAGCAGTAGAGAGGAACACAGGCACAAATTAAATTTAAAACCCCAGAGAACGGATATCGGGAAATTTTCTTTCACAAATCGAACGATAGCGGAATGGAATATATTGCATGCAAAAAGCTTTGAACCCTTTTCTCGAAGCGTTCAACAATTTAGAAAATTAATTTAGGGTATTACTAAGAAAATGAGGGACTTAACTGAGAAAAGTAGGTTATTTAGCGATGCAGCAGTGTTATATTGTGAAATGAGGTGTCGTGTATTGCAGTACAGAGCAGAGAAATACAAATGATCTAATGAAGGAAGGGATTTAAGAATCATAGTGCAGTGCAGTGTTAGTGCAGTGTGATCTTAATTGTATAAACATTCTGTGCGGAGTTGGATTATAGGTTTCTTTTTTTAATGTAACTTAATGTTTTATTAATCAGTCAGTTTTTATATTATTGTTATAGCATTATTTTTATCATTGTACCATTATTATTATTATTATTATTATTATTATTATTATTATTATTATTATTATTATTATCATTTTCTTCTTTTTATTTCTGTTCTAACATTCCACATACGACTGACCTTGATTGCAAGATCTTCGTATTTTTGATATTTCTCAGCAGACTTTGCTGTTATATTTTCATCACATGGGACAGATACATCAACGAGGTACATGTTTTTCTATTATTATTATTATTATTATTATTATTATTATTATTATTATTATTTTATTATTATTATTATTATTATTATTATTATTATTATTATCATTATTATTATTATTATTAAGTTAGTTATATGACATTGTTTATATAATTAGCTACCACCAGTTTTTACTCAATTGCAGCTTAAATAAATTTATTTTATCTTTGTACACGAACGTATTTTACTAGGTGACACATTACATCGCCCTGTTCAATGGAGGCAGAGCCAGGGGTTTTGAATGCCCGCGCGACTACCGCCTTGGCGGGGAGTACAGCGCTACCTGGACACTTCAAGAACTCAAAGAGAAAATAGAGAGGATCTCGTGGGGTGGAAATATGTTCATTCGTCTTGTGGCAATTGTGGTGCTCGGACGGCGGTGTGTGAGGCTGGGAGACTTCGGACGGAGCCGAGGCGGAGGCCACTGCTCCCTTCGCTGCGACGCCACCCGTGGCCTTACGCAGGCCGAGGTAAAAGTTGGTTAGGTCTGCGGCAGGGCTGAATCCCCTTCCAGTCTTCACGCGCCAAACGAGTGCCCGGCTCTGGTGAGTTGGACTGGTGCCCACGTCCGATGGCTGGTGAGGACACAGTGAGTGAGCCGTGGAGGAAATAACGTGAGTGACTGACTCAATTATTAAAGAAACTCTATAAAACGTGTGACACAGGGGACGAAAAAGAATGTTTAGTGGAACTTGTTTGTCGGAATATTTTTTCAGATTCCATGTAGTCGTCCTCTTCAAGAGCAAAACAATGGGAGAAACATAATGATAATTTCTCATTGCTCAATATATTTATATATATTCTTGTTTTCTTTACTCTGATCTGCTTGAAAACCTTCCATTTATTTGCAAAAGCAGCCTTGGCTTATATAAATTTTGCGGCCTAATTGCTTCTTTGTTTGTTGCTTTTGTTTAAATAGATATTATGTGCTGTTTCAACTTTCTGTAGTGGAAAGTATTTTATTTGCATACATAGTACATACATGCTGAAGTATTATCTAAATAAATTGTTGAAATTAGTTTGTGCAAATCTTTTGCGTGTATAAAAATTCTAAGAACTCTTCTCACTTCACATCACTCCTTTATTTGTATAATAAAATTCATTGAGTATTTAATCTTATGTGAACAGATAAGATAAGAACACTTATCACTTCATTTCACTTCATTACTGACAAAACTCTTTAGATATTCAGTATTTTACGGGCGGAAGTCTGATAAGAACTTTTATCCCTTAACACTTCTTTACATGCATTATGAGATTAATATGATATTTCATTGCTTTGTTATGTCATATATGTCTGTGCTGGACATTGCCTTTATTGACACTTTCAAAGGATCGTAAATGTAGGTGGACTTGAAAACTATACATGTAACTGATAAATATGTGCAACTTATTTACTTGCTTTACTCGTACGATTACTTGCAATACTCGTATAAGATTCATACGATATTTCATTGCTGTGTTTACCTTTGCCTATGATTGTAGAAGCAAATGATCACACGTGTAGGTGGATTGGAATATTATAAATGTAATTGGTAATATCTAGAACTTTTTAGGTTATATGAATAATTAAGCCAATGGACATGTCTTTTTTGTGTTTTTCCCAAAGTTTCGTCCGTGGAGCCCGGAATTAACTAAAAACACGTCGATCCTAAAGATGGATAGCTTTTTCTGTAACGTTCTTCGGATAAGGCAAAAACATTAAATCCAAAATGCGAGTAAGGTCACAGTATATTTGAATGTAAAATACGTGTTGTAGCAAGCAATCCTGACAGTATTTTTTAAGCATTAAAAAAAGTGGTAAAGAGAAAGTGGATATGTGCTTTAATAAGACCGAAATTATAAAATTTAGGGACTATTATGACAGGGAGTTATATTATCCAACAATGTGAGGGGATCATCGTGGAATCAGAGAGTACGCCCTAGTGTTTTTGGGAGGGCACTCTGGATGTGTCCTACTGCGGGAAGCGCATTGAGCTCCACGGAGGGAAAGAAATGTACGTTTAAATTTTTTCTGCTAAGATCAGAACCTAATATATATCTAGTGTAATCAAAAATTATTTAAGAAATATCTCTCTAGGAATGTCTCTCAGTTGATCGTTAATTGTTTATGTCAAATCATGGCTTCAGTGCTGTAAAAACACTTATAGGATATCTGCTTTTTAAAAGTTCTAAAATCACACGAAAGGATACATTTTTCAATTTGAAAAGCAGATCTAAAGAAATCTAGTCACCATATGTGGTATTTTTTTTATTAAGGTCTAGTTTGCACCAACAAATTTCTCGTCAAATGTTCTACTCACATACCAAATCTCAGAAGGAAGTGATTAAATTTACTATTTTCCAATATTTTAAACAAATTACATAATATCAGCTCAATTTCGTTTCCCGCGTATTTCCGAAACTAATACTCTGATTGAAATCTAGATTGCACCAATGTATTTCTCGTCAAAATTTCTACTTACATTACAGATCTCAAAAGAAACCGATAAAATTCATTTTTTACTACTTTTTCACTAAATTTTTTAATATCAGCTCAATTTTGTTTTACGCGTATTTCCGAAACTAACACTCTGATTGAAGTCTAGTTTGCACCAATGAATTTCTCGTAAAACGTTCGACGCACATACGTTATTTCAAAAGGAACCAATGACATTCATTTTTTTCCTATTTTTTCACCAAATTTCTTAATATCAGCTCAGTTTTGTTTTACGCGTATTTCCGAAACTAATACTGTGATTGAAGTCTGGTTTGCACCAATGAAATTCTAGTCAAACTTTCAACTCACATACGTGTTTCCAGAAGAAAGTGATAAAATTTACTATTTTCCTATTTTTTCACCAAATTTCTTAATATCTGCTCAATTTTGTTTTACGCGTATTTCCAAAACTAATACTCTGATTGAAGTCAAGTTTGCTCGAATGAATACCTCGTCAAACGTTCCATGCACATACGTGATTTCAAAAGGAACCAATTAAATTCATTTTTTCCCTATTTTTTCTCCAAATCTCCCTACATTAGCTCAATTTTGTTTTACGCGTATTTCCGAAACGAATACTGTGATCGAAGTATAGTTTGCTCGAATGAATTTCTCGTCAAACGTTCAGCGCGTATACGTGATTTCAAAAGGAACCAATGAAATTAATTTTTTTCCTATTTTTTCACCAAATTTCTTAATATCAGCTCAGTTTTGATTTACGCGTATTTCCGAAACTAATACTCGTATTGAAGTCTGGTTTTCACCAATGAAATTCTCATTATAATTTCTACTGATATACGTGGTTTCAGAAGGAACTAATGAAATTCATTTTTTTCCTAATTTTTCACTAAAATTCATAATATCAGCTCAATAATTTTTTTACGCGTATTTCCCAAACTAATACTCTGAATGAAGTATGGTTTGCACCAATGAAATTCTCGTCAAACGTTTTACTCACATACGTGATTTCAGAAGAAAGCGATGAAATTAATTTTTTTCCTATTTTTTCACCAAATTTCTTAATATCAGCTCAATTTTGTTTTACGCGTATTTCCGAAACTAATACTCTGATTGAAGTCTAGTTTGCACAAAAGTAATTCTCGTCAAAAGTCCTATACGCATAAAACGAAATTGTGGTGATAGAAAGGATTTAGTGAAAAATAGGATATAAATGAATTTCATGCCTTCCTACTGAGATCTCGTATGTGAGTAGAAATTTTGACGAGATATTCATTGATGGAAACTTGTCCTTTATCCGAGTGTAATTTTTGGAAATGCGCGTTAATCAAAATTGAACTGATATTAAGAAATTTGGAGAAAAAATGGGGGAAAAATAAATATCATCGCTTCCTTTTGCAATCACGTATGTGGGCAGAACTCTTGACAAGAAGAAAATCATTAGTGCAACATAGACTTCGATCCGAGTATTAGTTTCGGAAATACGCGTAAAACAAAATTGAGCTGATATTAAGAAATTTGGTGAAATAGTAGGGAAAAAGGAATTGCATCGCTTTTTTTAAATATAAATCCTATTCTGATAACTTTTCAAAAAAGGAAAATGGAAGTTCAAAAATGTTTTGTTTCTAGGAAAGGAAACTTAGTAACTGAAATATTTTTTGGGAATACTGATATGATGTTTTTGACATTATTCATGGTCAAATAACGAAAGAAATCTTTGTCAATTTAAATTTAAGTTGACAAATTCAAATGTTTTGCATGAGAACAAATCATTTACTTCTCTACAATATTTTTGTTTTATTTGTGTATGCACACTAAATCTCTACGTCGCTACTTCACATATACTTTTTAGATATTACACTGACAAAGTTTAACTACTTGAAATACGGTATACAAATTTATTTATCCGAATTTGAATGTTTGAATTGAATTGGCCTTATCCGATCTCATATTAAACTTTTTTTATTACTTTCGAATTCAGCGATGCAAGAATATTTTACCTACATTACCTATTACTAATCTGTAAATTTTTCATGCAAAAATTACAGCTCATGCAAGGCCTTTTCACGCAAGGCTTAATCAAACGCTTACCAGACACAGGAAACCCGCAATAAAAGATAAAACACAAACAACACACGCGTAAGAACATTTCATTGTTGTTCTCGACCGTGTCTTGACGTAGATGGTACTGCGAAAGTATCTGGGAGATTCGCGACTTTTTTTCGTATTTCCTCCAACGATAAGAGATATTTGCTCTTGCGATAAGATGCTCCCTATATTCTCGGAAGCCGATATTCACGAAGTACTGAAACGTATTGTGCAATGGAAGCTCTTGGGGCGGTAACAAGATAAGCTATCTCGATCGAAGCCCCCTTCTCGATCAGGTTTTTATCGTTTCCCTGATCCATTGAGCAAATGCTGAGATGGCCCCTTGTTTTGTTTCTGGACGTAAATGCAACATCACTATGCGCACATTTTGTTTATCTCTCCTTTTGCTTGTAATGATAAGAGTAGGGGTAAGGGCGAGTTGCTATTTTTTGAACCAAGACAGAAAAATCATACTTGCAATTCGTGTACCAATGCAACTAAGTTTTCTATAACTCAGAAACGAAAATGACTGTTCATCAAATATTGCTAGTCTTGTGATTTTTAAAATTTATTTCATTTATTTATGATAAACTTTTACTCATCTTTCAACTTCAACTTTTTTTTTGTGCTCCTGAAATTGGATTGCGGACTAAATGAATCTAAATCTATACCAAAACCACAGCAAGCGATCTTCTAAACGTAAATGCCAATATCTCTATTTTGGTGAAAGAGTGAATTATCTGGTTTCTTTGATACTATAGCTGTTATTCATACTTATGACAGGATTTGGACAGTATCAAGACGATACGCACTTCGACCAAAATTAGAGATATTAATATTTACCATGAAGGTAGACTTCCTGTGACTGATGTGGCTTATTTTGTTACTGCCCCAGGCCCGTCAATTGATCTAACCTATACCCTGTTTTAATATGTTTCAAACTGTGAGTTGACGAGTACAACAAAATGTCAGATAAGGACGACGGTAAATAACGTTTTGGCGTTGCTACGTATTTGACCGACGAGATTATATTAACTGATAGAAGTCGATTTCGCAAACATTACCAATAATCCATATTTATTCAATGGTTAACTTTTTTTACTCTACTAATCTCTCCCAGGCTCCCCCTTACCTCGACAATGAAGTTCTGGTATTTTTGAGAGCTGCGTTAGAGTAAAAACATATTTATCTGCCAATTTTACTTTACTTCTTCCGTAACAGTCAAAATCAATAAAATGTTATATTTATCAGAACAATGTTACCTAGTAGTAAAATTTGTGTTGAAAGTATACACACTCCTTTACCAAATGTTTGTATTTGATCCTTATAACATAAACTATGAATTATCAGTTTTCTTACCCGAGATAATCTAGGCCCCGATAATTTCGTACCCGAGATAATCATTGGGGACTTGCAAGTCAATGTACAAAATAAGATGTAAAATATGCATGTTTGGGGGGCAAAATATGCAAATACAGATAATTGATAAATTTTCAACAGAAATAAAATTATTTTCATGCACTGAACATACGATAATATATTTTTATAAGGAAATATCTAAAAAAAAGCCGCCTGACATAAAAACAATAATTTTTCAATACTATAATTTTAGAAGGGTTAATTTTACAACATAGCGTTAGAGGAACCCTCTTTTAGGAATGTTTGTCTACTTAAATTTTATGTAGAGCATACTTTTAGTTAGGATTTATAGATTTGCAGAAATAAGCAAACATTAGAAAAAACATGTTTATACGGCACTCACTCTCAACTCATCCCCACATTTCAGGATTTTTAGTTACACTTGCGATAGGTACCAATGAACAACCATGCCAAATTTCAAAACCCCGGTGTTTTTCCCTTCGATAATCAGTTTTTCTCTACTTTGTCAGGACTAAAATAGTCAATGTTAATACGTTCTATTTTATCTTTTAAATTATTGCTATTGGTTTTTATATATTCTATATGAAGTAAGTATATATAAGCAATATTAGTATACTGGAAGGAGAGTGTCAAAAACATTGGTGGAGCAGGGATTGGTTCTGAGGAGTAAGAGATTTTAAGAGGAGGCCAATAATTTTAACATTATGTACATTATTATATGAAGAAAATGCTTATTCACAAAATAAATTAAATATTGAACATTTTCAATAAAGTTTAATGATCTTTTGTCAACTTATTGTTTATAGATACACTAAATGTATTCAATATCTGGATGAGAGAGGTTCAATCTGTTCTATTTTTACCTTACTCATGACAGAAAATTAGAAAGTTTGATACATCCTAACATATCATATTGAGAAATACATTCTAAATACACTATAAAACGAGTATATACTAGTTTTCCTCTATTTAACTGTATGAAAACTAATTAACATTGGGATGTTCTTTAAAAGAGGACAGTCATTCGTACATAAATTGTCAAAATAAGTAATTAACTGTACTTAATTTCTATTCAATAGATCATGAACAATATGAACAATCTGTATATTCTTTACTAATCTAATTGCTAAGTTAGTATAATAAAAATTTATTTAGAGAAGAAATGGAATAGGAATAAAGAGAATCTATTAAATTAAATTCCTCCTATAAAATGACTTCATTCAGGCAACCCCAACCTCGAGACGCGACATACAGTATCGTTATGCTTTCACATCGCACTGCCTATTTCCTAGATAGTACACGAGGTGAATTGAATTTCTGTAGAACTTTGTAGCCTCGGAACCTTGTATTCTCTTTTCTAATCTTTCATCTGTTTTACATTTCTAATATATTATATGTATACCTAGAATAAAGTAAGGTAAAGTATCTGGTTAGAGTACCATCTCTTAATTTCGTATTCCGCCCTATCTCTGCTTCTTGAGGCTGTTTGTTAACTATAATAATGCAGTCATATTCTTTACATTTCAATTTTAAACCGAAAACAATGCAGATAACTCACAAATTTTGCGTTAAAATGTTTGAAAAATAATTATCATAAAACAATTTTTTCTTCTCAATTACGAGTTTGAACATTACCTCTAATCGCAGATAGTTCGTTGAAGTTGATCCAAAGCTACTTTTTTACAGAACTTTTATGCGATTGCGAAAAGTATAATGTGCTTCATTTCAGGACTATGATAAGCCAAAATTCTGCCCCTGGAGAGAAATTAGGTGCTCTGTATCGGAGTAAAGAAGACGTGTGGCGACCATGATGTATTTCAAGCACCGCACCTAGCTTGCTTGGAGGTACACTAAGAAAATGATAAATATATTATGTAACGGTACAAGCTCATACGACGCAGCTGCGAAAGGGGGTCGTAGGTACCCGCGCCCATTCGGCTATTGAGGCGAGGGGTTGTATGAGATTTTAGGGCAGGACACCCCCGCGCGGTGCCGAAGGAGGGTTTGTCGGCAGACGGATCCTCGCAAAATGTCAAGTGGGCGTCTCCTATTCACCCATGCGACCGCTCGTAAAAAGGACCCAACGCCAAGTGCGCCTTCTCGGGAGACAAATTTACGACCCAGCGGTCAGCGGTGCACGTGCGGATCCGAAGAAACAGCCCCGAAGTTTTTTTTTATAACAGCAACGGACATTCTGGCCGTTGAGAAAAGGGTTTCCGTGTGATTGGTAAGACACACACCTTCACCCTGCTCCGCGAAATTCAACCCCACGTATCGGGAGAATACACGCTGTTTGAGGGAGGGGGTACCGAGGTTTGCTGTTGCCAGGCCGCCGCTCTGTAGTCATTTCGATTTCATAGTTCGGCCACGAGCAGTCGATTCGATTTCCTCACTTGGCCACGAGTGGTCATTCGATTTCTTGACTCGGCCACGAGTGGTCATTGGAGTTCTTAGCTCGGCCCTGAGTAACCATTCGCTTTCGTGACACGGCTACGAGAAGTCACTTGATTTTTTTTAACTTGGCTCCGAGTATTCACTTGAGTTCAGTAAGGCATTGACTGAAACTCCAATTATTATCTTCACTTCGCTTGCTCACTTGACCTCACTTAGCATTCGAAGCCTCTTGCGGAGGGAAGTTGACCCATCGCGCACTCTGTCAGAAATTCAGGCGAAAAGGGATGTAGTCTCCCGCCTAAGTCAATTTACCGCGTTATGACAATCGTCCGCGACTGCTGATACAGAAGTCGATTGGCTTCCAATCAATCATCGCCGATGAACACCGTTGCTGCATGAGGGTGGTGACGCTGGTTGAAGTAGTGGACACCAGAAAACGCGGCGACGTCAGACGGTCACGCTGGGAGCCCCTTGTGTTCACCGCGTCTGCCTGGCCAGGCGTGCTGTGGTGCCCGCCCATAGAAAACGAGGGTAATAATTCGCTTAGCTCCCGCTTAAATGCGGTCGAACACTTGCTGAACGAAGCGGGGGGTAGAGTGTGCCTTCAGCACAAGTATTTATGACGACCCATTGCTTTATTTTGTATTAAATTTAATAGATGGCTAATGTTCTAATAAGAGAAAGGGTAGTTTTTTATTGTAATTCATGTAACTCATCATCATCATTTTAGTGACTAAATGTTTATTACTGCAAATGTTATGTCTATTATTGTTGAAATTCCCGTTCCTGTTTCAGCCACACGACTCGTTGGGTTACAATTAATTTGCTTCAATTGGATGCACGAAAAGTGCATCATTCGTAAAAGAAATCTTGTGTAACGTCTAAATACATGCAAAAGGGCCACGCTCGTGGCATTAATACGCCTTGATCACGCTGCGATGATAACTTATGTGATAAGAATTATGAGGAAACTAAAGTTGTTTTTGTAACATTTTTTTGGAGTTTGAAATGAAGTTTACTTTTAACTGAGAAAATTCCAGAGAATGAACCTACTTTTGTTAATAAAATATTACATACTATCTTACAAGTTGGATTTAGACTTATTTTGAAATTTTCAATCTTTAACATCTTTAGGGCCGAAATTAGGAAGAGGAAGAGCGCAATTAAGAACCATTTACAAAAAAAAAAAAAAAAAAAAAAAAAAAAAAAAAAAAAAAAAAAAAAAAAAAAAGTTTTCACGTTCTAAGGTTTGTATTTTGGACATTTTATTGGTTTCCCCAAAATTTACGACAAATATTCGTAGGTCATACTATTGGTTCAAATTGTTGCGTTGCTTCG